GAAGAGCCCCAGGGAAATATGCAATGTGTTTGGCTTGTTCCCTAGCGCCAATGGATCACCGCCTGCACACTTGAATCTCTGTCAGACTCTCCAGTAGCACATCTGCTCCCAGTATTTCTTCCATGAGGATGTGACTGTTATAATCTCTTCAGCACACAAAAAAATAATAGTAATGAATTTTTGGTATCGATAATAATGAACTTTAAAAACCAATAACACAGCAGCTTGAGAGGCAGTCTTATTAGATATTTGAGTGGTGATCAATAAACATGGTTAAAACAAAACTGGAATTAGTACAGGAAACATAATAAATTGTTACCAATTCTGCTGAAGTTGTCAGTACCCTCTAGTGGAAATACACTTTAATAGCATAGACTTTTTTCAAATATTTTTCATAGATGTATTATCAGTCATTGAAACTTGGCAGGTACAAAAACTAACATTTTTAGATAGTAATAAACAGTGTAGTATCTCATTTCATTATGTTAAATAAATGTAAGATCTTTAATATAATTTGTTATCTCATTTGGAAAAGCAATCCAAAATAAAATGAGAGCAGAAGGGAAAGCTGTCAGAAAGAACTGGAACAAGAGATCAGATAATCCCCCTACAATGTCTCAGCTTTGCCTTGTGGAAATGAAATCTACATGCGGGTTGCTCAATTTAAATCTTATTAGTGAAAAGTCAGATGATCTCTGTTCTCACTAAATTTATTTATTTATTATTTGTTTTAATTAGTTACACATGACAGTACCATGATCTTGACATATCATACATTTGATTCAGATGGGATATAATTTCTCATTTTTCTGAGTGTACAGGTTGCAGAATCACATTGGTCATGCAGTCAAGTATATACCCCACAGCAATAATAATGTCTATTTTATTCTGCTGTCCTTCCTTTCCCCTCTTCCCCTCCCCTCCCCTCCCATCACTTCTCTCTACCCAATCTAACGTGACCCATTTCTCACTAAATTTATATCGTACAAATATTTAATGAATAATATTTTGAATGTATGTCAAACTTAACTGGTGCAGGGGATCAAATTTTTAACCTAAGGATGTCCACATGTTTTACTCTGCCTTGAAATCAAAAGGAGAATAATCCTTCTTGGTATTTCACATAGATTTGGTTGGATAAGTATTGATTTTCAGTAATAACAATCATATCATAGATTTCAATATAACTCTGAAATTTTAAAATTAGTAAAATAATATTACTATGTTTATTAAAATCTGAAATTATTTATAAATTAAATCAGTGTCTTCCCTTCTCACTTTTTACTTTAGTTGATTTAATGGTACTGTAATTTCATCATTACAATAGCGCAATTCATTCAATAACTCATTTAAGATATTCTTAAATTTCACACAGTTGAAGGGAAAATGATGGCACGAAGATTATCCCTGGGATGCTTTTCTGATAAGTTGAAGAACTTCTGTGAGACTCCTGTGGTTCAGCTACTTGTCTTTATAAAAAGGATAGTTACTCTTTATATAGAGCTTTATATAGAGATTTTTTTTGAAAGAAAAAATAGATCTGTCTGAATATATATGGTAGAAAAATATTAAACAGTACTTAAATTCCTCCTCTGTACCTGCTAAGGATAAAATGGTCTATTTGTGGCTTGGCAATGCAGTTTGTGTTTCTTAGTAAAGCCTGGTGAGGAAGAATTGGAGAAGCCAAATTCCTCCACATGAGGAAAAAAAAAGATGAAAAAGTACTCAGAAAAGATACTAAAAAGGGGACAAATCAGCACAGGTTTTCAGAAAAGTAAGGACAATTTGAAGGTCTGTGTGTTCTCAAACTTTAGCATGCATCAGGTTCATCTGGGAATCTAAGAGAATCATAACTGATGTTTAAATGAATGCTACAACACAAATTCTGTGGCTCTAACTCCAGAGTTTCTGTTTCATTAGTTCTAAGGCACTGGCTTAATAATTTACAATTCTAACAGGTACCCAGATAATGCTAATTCTGCTGATGTAGGAACCACACTATAAGAGTCACTGTTACAAAGGGTTTTTACAAAGTTTTGCTTTGGGTTATGTGGTATAACTTTCTAAGTGACTAGCCATCCCTGTTTCTCTGAGACTAAAGGATTTCCGTGAGCTGAGACTTTCAGGGCTAAAACTGGAGTGTCTAGAACACCAGGAAGATTTGCCCCTTAAATCATATCTTTTTGTGTGTGTGCATGTGGTGCTGGGGATTGAACCCAGGGCTTTGTGCATGTGAGGCCAGCACTCTACCAATTGAGCTATATCCCCATCCCGTTAAATCATATCTTAAAGATATTTTCAGTAAAGTACTTGCTAAGCCATTACTCTTGTTCAAATATTTTTGAATCGAAATTTTGTGTTACTTACATTTTAATTAATTTAAAATTTTATGTTTTCCCCCCACTGGTATATTATGATATTAAGATTGAATGCAAGTCTAGAATTGCATTTTGGAGGTTATATTTTAGGATTTTGAACCAGGAGACAGCAGTACCCTGCTGTATCTAGAACTAATTGTCACATAGAACTGAGTAAACCATCACTATGACTATGAAATAGCCAACATTTTGATTCCATAGCAAGAGGAAAAAGTTGTAATTGGAGGCAGGATGTTACTTGGATTAGCACTTCATTGTTTATAGCAGCACAATTCACAATAGCTAAACAGTGGAGCCAACCTAGATGCCCTTCAGTGGATGAATGGATAAAAAAATGTGGCATATATACACAATGGAATTTTACTCAGCAATAAAATCATGGTATTTGCAGGTAGATAGATGGTGTTGGAGAAGATAATGCTAAGTGAAGTTAGCCAATCCCAAAAAAAATCAAATGCCGAATGTTTCCTGTGATATAAGGAGGCTGATTCATAATGGGGTAGGGAGGGGGAGCATGGGAGAAATAGATGAAACCTAGATAGTACAGAGGGGTAGGAGAGAAAAGAAGGAGGCAGGGGTTAGCAAGGATGGTGGAATGTGATAGACATTATTTTCCAAAGTACATGTATGAAGACATGAATTGGTGTCAACATACTTTATATACAATTGTAATGCATTCTGCTGTCATTTATTTTTTAAAAAATCAATAAAAGAAAGGGCTAGGGATGTGGCTCAGAGGTTAATTGCCCTGGGTTCAATCCCCTTTATAAAGAAAGAAAAAAGTCCCCAGAAATAGCTATATTAGTGGGAGATCTTGATTTGGGGGAAGCTTGGAAAGCATTTAAAGCTTATCAAATATGCAGTAATTCCAAAGTGTAAAAGTAATAACAGACTATAGAGTTATTCTTGGTGTGATGGTTTAAATTCTACCCCATGCTGACATTAGTTTTCTACATAATTTCAAATTTTTATCTTTAGCTGCTTCTGTAAGATTAAGTTAAATAGATTTTAAATACAGATCTTTAGCAATTCAAACATATCATATTTCCTTGAAACTTCCTAATTAACTTAAAGGGGCATGTGGGGTTTGTAAACAAGTTAGATGTTCAATATAAGTTCTGGTAGTCATTATTATGAAGATAAATATATAACATAAGTGTCTAGTTTTATTCTACTTCCTCAAAAAATGTCAACTACTTCTAGAGAGGGTTATGCAGAGCATGTACTATTAAGATTGAGAAGTTTACTGAGTCAGTGGCCAATTGCTTGTAGATAATAACTTCTCGAAGTCTTAAGATGATTTGGAGATGATCTCAAATAGGTAAGTACAGTCCATACTCAATAATAAAATGGGAGATAATAGGGAAAACAGCTAAGCATCATCTCAAATTAGGATAAGGTGAAGAAATCTACCTAACATGATTTTATTCCAATGATTTCCTCTTATTATTGAGAAATAGTAGAGAATGAAGAGGGAGCCCATGAGTTTCATTTGAGAAACTTCCTTTAAATTGAGAGAGACTCAGAGAAAGAACTGAACTGAGAACCCTGCGGTTTACAATCCTAAACGAATCATGACTATTTTCTGCTGTATTTCTGCCAAAGGCAACTTGACTGAGGTTAATGAAAAGATCATTATTTTTCTTTCTGCAAAACATGGCCAACAATGCTCATGGCAAAACTGCAAAACATAATTTATCTTTAGTGTTCTTTATAACTTCTCTTTCTCCTGCCCTCAATACCCAACCCCAGACTACAGGAATTGTGTAGTCTACATAACATAGAAAAGTGTGTAACTTTATGTAACTAATATGTGAATAAAATTTTGAGACTACAAAATCAGTGGTGCATAGTACCACCTGTTAAATGCTCATGATTATGTTTTAGTAGGAAAACCTAATACATAACAACCAAATTTACATGCATAGGCAATCCTTCCTTATCGAAAACATCCCAAATTCTAAAATAATTAATTACCCCCAACTTGCACAGCATACTGAGATCCGGACATCAGAATTCAGTCTTAATATAAATTTAAGTAAATCCTCGGAAAGTCTACCTTTTGAAAGTGTTCTCTTTTAACCCAAAATATCCTCTAACTGGTGAATTTATTGGCAGTCAGGGATTTCATGTCCTACCAGTTATAAAATATCAGTCTTTGAACCCACAATAAACGCTCCCCTTCCGGTCTCAAAAGATGACGCAAGAGAAATGTCTTAGAATTGAATTGTTTAGTAATAATAATCCCTGAAAAGAGAGAACAGAAATAACTGGAAAAGGAAATGCAAATGTTTAAGTTTGGAAATTGGAAACGTGGGGAAATGACGCCACCTTCTGGTGAGAAATGGGAACCAACAACAACAAAAAACCCCCCAGCAGGTTAAGGATCTGATTTCTTTTCAAACCATCAAACAGCGCAACTCCAGTGGATCTTTAGAACCGCCCTCCCCGGAGGCTCTCACCACTCCTGGCGCCTCAGGCAGTATGATTGACAGGGCAACAGTCGGGTCCGTTACATAAATTCGTCACTCCGGAAACAGTGACCGGATCCTTCCGGCCCGCGCTCTCCCAGCATCCTTTGCCTTCCGGCTGTGCTCAGTCCTGTCCGGCCAGTCCCGCCTTGCGCGCCCGTTTCGAGCCGGAGTTTCAAGCTCGGCTTTCCAGGCTCTGAGTGGGTCCTCGGGCAGTGGCAATGGGGGCAGGAATGGCGCAGCTAGAGGGTTACTATTTCTCAGCTGCCTTGAGCTGTACCTTTTTAGTGTCATGCCTACTCTTCTCTGCCTTCAGCCGGGCGCTGCGAGAGCCCTACATGGACGAGATCTTCCACTTGCCGCAGGCGCAGCGCTACTGTGAGGGCCATTTCTCCCTCTCGCAGGTGGGGTCCACAACCTGTCTCTACCCTAGGACAGGCCAGGGAGGGCCCGGCGTTCCCATCGCTGACTTCTCCTTCCCATCCTTTATCCTTGGCTCTCTCCCTTGCACCTTCCCAGCCTCCAAACGTAAAAGGAGCTGGGCAATCTTTTGTTCCTGTGTCAGAGCTTCGTGATGTTTGTTAAAATGAATGAATAAAAAGCTTATCTGTCTCTCAAGAAGGAATGGTTTGGGAGAGTGACTAATGGGGAACCGAGCTAGTGCTCCTCCTCTTAGCAACTGACTATCCCAGTTTGTCTTCCCCAGTTCCAAGATTAGAGAGGTGTTGGGGTGTGCCTTGAACCTGTCAGAAAACTTCACGTTAGCATCAGTGAAACACCTCACTCAGTATTTCGGAGGAAGGATGGGTGATCTTCAGCCACAAAAATAAAGTGATAGTTTACACTAATTTTCTGGGCATTTTAGAAACCTTTTGTTAGCTGGATAAACTGCATCCAGTCAGGTTATATCATTTTAAAATGTATGTTTGACTACACAAATGTATAAATATAAATACCAAAGCATATTCCTCCTCTTCTGGTGATACATTATGCGTTCTGGTTAAAGTATGTTGGGAAAAAATCTGATTTTCAATCTTGATGCTGTTATTAACCTTAGAAAATTTTCTGGATTTCAGGCTACTCATCTGCAAAATGGCATCAATAATAGTATCTAATGTAGGGTATGCAACAAGATTAAATAAGATTTAGCACAGTTTTTGGAACTGATACATGTTAGCTATCATAGAGCCTGTGGACCAATCTCTCTAAACCCTTCTTTCTCTCTAAACCCATCAGAGTTTGAACTAAATTTTACAAGCTGTGAAATGAGAGCCTTTGCAATTTAGACACCAAAATACAGGTATTCTAGAGAGCAATTCTTGGAAATTAGAAACAAATTTTAATTTATTACAAACAGGTGCAGAGGTAAAAAAAAAATTATTTTCTCAAAGTAGACATCTAATCTACTAGGATTTTTTTTTAACCATGTCAAAATAACTTCTCAAATGTCATGATCATTAAAACTGGATCTTAACATATCTGTGCCTGTCTTTTCAGTATTAGTTCTTGATTTTGCTTCACTGTTGGCATTTCATTTTTAAGTGGGATCCCATGATTACTACATTACCTGGCTTATACCTGGTGTCTGTTGGAGTGGTCAAACCTGCCAGTTGGATTTTTGGATGGTCTGAACATATTGTCTGCTCCATTGGAATGCTCAGATTTGTTAATCTTCTCTTCAGTGTTGGCAACTTCTATTTACTATATTTGCTTTTCCGAAAGCTACAACCCAGAAACAAGGTATGTTTTAACATAATTTATTACAGGTATGTTTTAACATAATTTATTTCTGTGTAGTCAGGTTCACATTTATGTCATGAATTAGTTTTATGAAATTTGGAGAAATATGTTTTTAACACTGGAATTTATATATGTTTGTGACAATTAATGGAAATCTTGCACCCCCATTTTAGAAGATATTTAAGTAAGGCAGTCTTTCTTTGCAGAACTTATATCTTCTTTAGGGAAAATAGACTTTGCTTTAGGAGTTATGAGGCAATTTAAGATCGCAAGTCCTTGAAGTTGGTTTCTTGGGTTTCAATTCTATCCCTACTACTACTACTTGCATTACTTTGGGAAGATTACCTTTCATGACTCTGTGCCTTCAACTGTTAAATAAGTACTAATAAATCTACCTCATAGAAGTGTTATGAAGAGTAGAGGATTAATAAATAGGTGGTGCTTCGGCTAGTGCCTGATATAAAGATTCAGTAATTGAAAGAGGTAATTTCAGTAGTATCAGTTATGAGAGGCAGGTAGGCATGAGAATGAGGATACAGAGAAGGAGCCGAGGAACACTTACTACTTCCTTACTGGGAGGCGTGTGTGTGGCCTTGGATAAGGCTGCACAGAGAAGGTAGCACCAGAGCTAAATCGTGATGAACAGATACTGCTGAAGAGGGGAATAATCCTGGCAGACATAGCATAAAGTAAAGGTATGAAGGCATTGAACAATGAAATGCAGAGAATTACTGTTTGAAACTATAGAATTATCAACCACAAGGATATAAAGCTAGAGATGCAGGTAGGACTGAAGTCAAGAAAGTCCTTATATGCCATGGAGAGGATTTTGAACTTTATATAGGAGGTGATGAAGAGACCTTAATTTTATTCTATTTTTCAAATGCTTTTATTAGTGCATTACAGTTATGAATAATGGTTGGGTTCATTTTGACATAATGAAAATATGCATGAAATTTAATTTACTCCATTTCAATCCCTACTGCTTCCTCTTTTCCATCCTTCCCTCTGTTCCTTTTCCTATACTCTGCTGGTCTTCCTTCTGTTTATTAATTTTTTTTCTTATTGGTGCTTTATAGATAAACATAAAGTTGGAATTCACTATAGTATATTTATACATGTACATAGTATAATGTTGTCAGATTCATTTCTCATTTCCTCCTCTTTCCCATCCCTCATCCTCCTCTTCTACCTCATTCTACTCCACTGATCTCCCTCTAACCTCATGAGACACCTCCCTTTTAGTTAGTTTGTTCTAGTTTCTGCACATGAGAAGAAACATTTGATCCTTGATTTTCTGAATCTGGCTTATTTCACTTAACATGACATTCTCCAGTTCCATCCATTTACTTGCAGATACCACAATTTCATTCTTTATGGCTGAATAAAACTCCTCTGTGTATATGTACCACATGTTTTTTTTTTTTTTTAATTCATCAACACCTGGGTTTGTTCCATAACTTGGTTGTTGTGAATTGCCCTGCTATAAACAATGATGTGCCTGTATCACTGTAGGATGCTGATTTTAGTACTTTTGTATAAATGTTGAGTGGTGGGATAGCTGGGTCATGTGGTGGTTCTATTCCTATTCTTGTGAGGAATGAGAGACCTTAAATTTAATCAAAGGAATGGCATGGACTGATTTGGTGAGTTAGATTAAATGAAGGATACAATTTAAGGAGATAAAAATACTTAAATTTTGAAGTCATGTCAGAAAGGCCCAAAGAAGATGTTTAATTTTAGACTAGGCCTACTATTTTCACAAAAATCCTTCATGAAAAAGTAAGATCATTGGTCAAATAATATAGATGCTATATGCCCTTTTACATTTTGTCTAATGTAAGGTTTTAAAAGGCTGTCCTTCAAGAGAGTTGGTGATGATGGCAAGTTGAATGCTTATGGAAGGTAGTAAGAATTAAGCTCAGGGGGTTGAAGCTATCTGCATGGTGTCCTCTTCATCTCTATGCTCCACAGAGTTTAGTTTGGTGTCTTGCGCCAAAAACTCCTCAACTATTTGTTGAATCATTCAAGTCATTTTAAGCCATAGGAGCTTTGGCACATGTTTTAGTGGCTTCCAAGCTAATAATTATAACTAAAAAGTACCAAATATTCTTATAAACTTATATAGTAACTTTGCAAAGCTCAAAATTAGATTAATATTAACTCCTAAATAAAATTGGAGTGGGGCTTTGTTATTGTTTTTTTAATAAATATCTTCGTTAATTCAGAAATAGCATAATTGCTTTGTGAAAATAATTTTTCATGTTTTTCCCCCCAAAGGCTGCCTCAAGTATCCAGAGAATCTTATCAACGTTAACACTAGCAGTGTTTCCAATACTGTATTTTTTTAACTTCCTTTATTATACAGAAGCAGGATCCATGTTTTTTACTCTTTTTGCCTATTTGATGTGTCTTTATGGAAATCATAAAACTTCCGCCTTGCTTGGGTTTTGTGGCTTCATGTTTCGTCAAACAAATATCATCTGGGCTGTCTTCTGCGCAGGACATGTCATTGCACAGAAATTAACTGAAGCCTGGAAAACTGAGCTGCAAAAGAAGAAGGAAGAGCGGCTTCCCCCTATCAAAGGACCATTTTCAGAATTCAGGAAAATTCTTCAGTTTCTTTTGGTGTATTCCATGTCCTTTAAGAACTTGAGTATGCTTTTCCTTCTAACTTGGCCCTATATCCTTCTGGGGTTTGCATTTTGTGCTTTTGTAGCAGTTAATGGTGGAATTGTTATTGGTGATCGGAGTAGTCATGAAGCCTGTTTTCATTTTCCTCAACTGTTCTATTTTTTCTCTTTTACCCTCTTTTTTTCTTTTCCTCATCTACTATCTCCTACTAAAATTAAGGCTTTTCTTTACTTAGTTTGGAAACGTAGAATTCAGTTTTGTTTGATTACCTTAGCCTCCATATTTTTAGTTTGGAAATTCACTTATGTTCATAAATACTTGCTAGCAGACAATAGACATTATACTTTCTATGTGTGGAAAAGAGTTTTTCAAAGATATGAAATTATGAAATATTTGTTAGTTCCAGTCTATGTATTTGCTGGTTGGAGTATAGCTGACTCATTGAAATCAAAATCAGTTTTCTGGAATTTAATGTTTTTCATATGCTTGTTCACTTCTACAGTTCCTCAAAAACTGCTAGAATTTCGTTACTTTATTTTACCGTATGTTATTTATAGGCTTAACATACCTCTACCACCCACATCCAGACTTGTTTGTGAACTGGGTTGCTATGTAATTGTTAATTTCCTAACTTTTTATATTTTTCTGAGTAAGACTTTTCAGTGGCCAAATAGTCAGGACATTCAAAGGTTTATGTGGTAAAATCAGAGATATTTTGACCTTTAAAAGTAGATGTAATATATAGACTGTCTCCACAATGAATAATTGATATGTGGGAATTATAGAATTTGTTTTAGGCATAATGGTAATTCTCAGATCACATCAGTTTTTTTCTTATTACATACTTTTTTTTTATTACATATATACATTGTATGCAACAAATATAAGGAAGTTAAGTATAAACAACTGAAAAGCTTAAGACCTGCTTCAGAAGCCAATAATGGAAAGATAAAATTGTTTACAATTATCTCTTTGATACTGCCAGCACTCAAAAGCTTGGAAACTTTTTGTACATACAAGCTTAAGAAAATTGGGTATGCTTCACAGCAGTGGAACTAATTTATAATTCTTTTCAGAAATTATTTGAAAAATATTTACAAATGATCAGTCAATATTCCTGATTGAAAAGTTGTTTACTCTTTCAATAATTATAATTTTAATCATAAATTAGAATAGATTTATGGATAGCAATTTAAAAGAGAAGGTCATGGTAATCCAGGATTCAGTGTATTATTTTTTATTTAAAATCTAGAAATTATGAAGCTTTTTCACTAATTCCTAATATGAAATGTATAAAGGCCAAAGATAAATTGTGTTGATTATAATACCTTTTAAAGAGACTTTTTTTCTGAAATACATTGTTGTATTAGTTTCCTAGGACTACTGTAACAAATGACTACAAACTTAGTGGTTTACTTTTTTTCCCCACATTTAGAAAGACCTGTATCTGAACTCAAAATGTCAGCAGGGTCAGTTCCTTCTGGAGGTGCTGAGGAATTATCCATTCCATGCCTCTCTCCTGACAAGAAGATAATATCTCACAAGATTTTTAGGAGATGATATATGTGCTTAGATCTTATAAATAAAATTTTGTCCTGAGAGGTTAAAAAAAAAGTGACTTCTGAGATATAAATGTAAATCAAATTGTTATTTGATTCCCTTATCTCCCCCCCCCCAAAAAAATAGAACTGAAAGTTATGAAATCATTTGATGTACCTATTTTGTAAATTAGGTAACACCTGCTGGGTAATATTTTGTGAGTGTGTTAGTGTTTGCATTCTCTGTTTACTATTTTTCATTCATTCCTTGGGTTGTCATTTTACTACAGGTAAGTATTTGGGCATGTTAATTTTGACATGGAAAGCTGAAACTGTGTATAGAAGTCATCTCTCAACCAAATTTTAACATTTTTAAATATTTTTTAAAAATAGCCGTAAGTGTGGACAAATTACTTTCTCCTCAGTGTTGAATAAAGCTTTTTCCTGTTTAAAATAATTAGAATATTTAGAAAACATCTCATCTTGCAAATATGAAAATGAGTGCAGGTAAAAATAACAACAAAATTCTTGAGAAAAAATACAAAGCATTCTTTTATTGTACCTCTATTCAGTACTTAGAAAGTAGAATGACTCAATTATAACAGTGATTGTATGAAAATATATTTTACCCAGATTTTTTTTGGCAGGCTGAATATTGAGTTTAGGGATGATAGGCAAGCAGTATACCACTGAGCTATGTCTCCAGTCCTTTTAATTTTAAGAGTCCTGCTAATTTTGCACAGGCTAGCCTTGAACTTGTAGTCCTCCTCTATCAGCCTTCCAAGTAACTGGGATTACAGGTGTATGCACCACACCCAGCCAGAATATTTTTAGTCAGATAAGAAAGCATAATCAAAGAAATTATGCTTTCATGAATTTATTATAATAGAGAACTAAATCCAGGAAACCAAAGTTGGAAAAAAAAAAAAAAAAGAGTGTAATTTAGGAAATTCAGCTTTGTTGTCTGATAGTGCAAGGCTTGTGTTTAGGAACATTTCTGAGGAAAAACTTTCCACTCAGATCTGGTCTGGGGACCATTTCACCCCATTTAATTGAAGAAGACTGGAGAGATCACCATTCGAATTAATTTTTAAGTGTTGAGTCACTTATGTGTTAAATTTGGAGAAATTTTACATTGAGAAGGAAACACATTAATCTTCCTCGTTTTCTATAACATAAAATACAGTACTTGGTAATTTAGAAAAGAATATTGTGAATTAAAAGGAGCTGCTTATTTTTTTCTAATTATTTTAAAACAGGATGTCTATCAGTATTCTTGAGTTAAAGATAAACGTTTTGGTTTAAATTTTCTTGGACCCTTAGAAGATGGTTATTTACTATTGAATTTTCCACAGAGTGAAATAGATTAAATAAATATGTGAAAGATACACAAGCTCAATTTAACAGATCACCAAACTCATCCCTGTGAAGTCTTTCCACCTGAAAAGATTGAGAAGTCCAGTCATTCCTAAAACGATCCTTGCTTTTACAAACATTCTAAATTATGTTTGTGTTTTGAACTTTTAAAAGGATTATCAAATACTACTTTTGTAGTGGATTTAAAAAATTAGAATTTTTTTGAATTTCATAATTAAAAAGTGATTATGAAAAACACATACTTCCTTACTAGATAACCTTACAATCATTGTTAGTAGTCTGTGAGTAGGATTATTTTAAAGAGTATCATGAAAAGTTCTAGTCCATTGTTTTCAACTTCAGAATAATTTTGATCAAGTTCTACCTTATGTGAAATTCTAGTATGGAATATTATCTTTAGATAGTATTAGTTAGGTTTTAGTGTACTGTGTGTTTACTACCACATGTGTCATGTGTTTTCTCTTAATGGATACCCAGAAATTTTTTATAACTGTATCTGTGTGTTTAAATTATTTGGAAATACAGTGTTCCTTACTTTAAAATAGCATATTCTCCTAGCAAGAGAAATTATTTTTGCTCTCTGGGCCATGTTTCCTTAGATTCATTTCTGGAATATGCTTAGTCTGTCATAAAATTCCACAATATAAATAACTTAATGTAATTTATTTCTAATAATTAAATAATATGTTATTTCCAGTTTGAACTAAATTGCTGCGCAGTTTGACATTATTTTCTTCATAATCAAAGAGAAAAGGGATTCAAAAATTTTATTTATGCACTTAAATAGTGGACAGTTATAACCAGTTTTCAATAAATTATGTATTCAGATAAAAAAATTCATGGTGGTGCATGCTCGTAATCCAATAACTGGAGAGACTGAGACAGGAATATCTCAAGTTCAAAGCCAGCCTCAGCCACTTAGTGAGACCATCTCAAAATAAAAAATAAAAATTGGCTGGGGCTGTTGCTCACTGGTAAAGTGCATCTGGGTTTAATCCCCAGTACCAAAAACAAAGAAAAAGAAAGAAATTACTATATATTAGGTAGAGAGCATTATTATCTTAAAACAATTAGAATCACATTAAATAGTAAAACCAGATTGTAATGTAAAGATGAAAAAAAAACTTTTAAATGGAAATTTAAATATAAATTAGGAGCCATGGACTTATAGGAAGAATGTTTAACATGGGAGTTTTGGGAATTAGTGTTTGCTTATGACTCTATAATCAATAAGGCAAGATGTTTGGTCCTCATTTCAAATGAGGATAATTGTCCTAACTAAGGTGTGTCTGGTATGGGCCTAATTTCGAAAAGGATTTATCCCCTGCCATTCATAAAAATCATAAACATATCATATGATAAATATTAGCTAAATGTACACTGAACATTTTAGTATAGAATGAAGCAAATAGCACAGAAAAACTATAATGTATAATCACAATTAATTTGAGGAAATAAATTGCATTTCATGACAAAAGCATTCCAGACCCATTTTCTGCCTAATTTTTTGGTCTATTGCTAAGTGTTTGCTGTGTTGTTTAGTGCTTAAACATGTATCTACTTGTAAATATGTTATATGTTGTCTTTATATCAGGATATGATATCAAGGTTATTGCTGTTTAAAATACAAGCAGTTCAATCATTAAACTATTATAATTTTGATGGTTTGTAAGACTTTAAAGGGAAAAGAAATTTCAACCAGTTACAAATATTTTATGTTATTTCAGGTTCTATTTTACTATTCTAGGAATAACTTATCTTTCATTTAGAGTGCTTTACATATTTAAATGTTGATGACACATTTCCAATATAGTAAAAAAAGTTGAAAAATTATAATAAAGTGAATAGGTTGTGAAAAAATTTTTCAACACATTTATAAATTCAACACAAAATTCTTTTAAGATTTGATTATTATTTCTAGGGTGAGAAATTTTGTCACAGTAAAGTAATCCAATAATGTCTTCATATTATGCTTTTTAAAAGATGAGCTTTTGATGAATTTAATAATTTCATTCAGAGTTTCATTTCATTCATAGCACAGTTCATCACCAGCAAGCCAAAAGAAATGTCTTTTTACAACAAGAACAATATTAAAACATTATACTGTTTCTGCATACTGGAGTGTGATCAGTTCATTGAGCAATGTATGTGTGCTTATGGCACATACAAGATGAGGAAAAAGGGAAAGAAATTGCCATCTTTTGAGTACCTGTAATATTGGCTGATTTACCAATATTGTCCCATTTGATCCTACTCATATGTCTGTGCAGTAGATACTGAATTTTGCTGGATTGTTGAAGAAGTTAAAGGTCAAATATATCTGGTGACTTGCCACAAGCCACTCTTGTCTCTAAATGAACATAGATGATCTGATTCACAAACTGAGGTTTTGACTGCTATTTTGTGAATGTTTTTCATTAAGTAGGCTGAGTGCTTGCCTTGCATGTGTGTGTCACCGTGTTCGATTCTCAGCACCACACATAAACAAATGAATAAAATAAAAGTCCATCAACAACCATATATATATATATATATATATATATATATATGAAGTAGGATATGGAGAGTGGAGATAGTCTTTACTGTGCACAAGCCAGGCCATTCATGGCACATTATTTTTTTGTGTGTTGGATCGTAATCATTCTTAAAAATGTTAGAAACTGTTTAAAGAAGTATGAACAAATGATGAGGATTAATAATTTTGTTGTAAGATAAATGAAAGAATGGGATGATTAACTTGGAATAACAGATTCTGTAACTTAAGCTCTTACAATATTTGAAGAACAATTATTTGAGTGAATTGAAATTATTCTGTTATGTAAAGTGTAAATGTAGGGCCAATAGTTACATTTCAGTTAATGAAAAACAAATTTTCTAATTGCTTAGTCTCTACAAGGGACTGGACCCCCTCAAAAAAATGTTTCCTATTGACTGGTGGTAAAATTTCTATTTATCAGATTTAGGAAAATCAGATAGCATGTAGATAGAGTAAAATATATTTAAAGATGTCTTACAACCTTGTAAATTCATAAGTCTGTTACAACTAATATTTTTGCATTAATTGGTAAGTCATAGTCAGATATTTCTGGTGATTTGCATGCTGTCTTTGGTATTTTAAATTTCTGAACAAAACTACTTTTAACTGTTAACCCTGTTTTAGAAACAAATTTTAGATGCCCAATCTTCTAAAAGATATTATAGTTAGAATATTTCGGTGAGCTTGTAGTATTTATTTTACATATGTTTTAATTCCTCTTGTGTCAATGGAAATAGTGTATTCTACTTAAAAAGGTTTATCCCCTAGTGAAAAATAGGGCAAGTGCTATGTATAATAAAAGTGTTTAGTTCAGTGTTCACTAGGTGGTGATATTGTGCTGTATATTCAAGTGTTGTTGTAATTAAACTTTTGTTATTCTGAATTAAGCTTTTTATAGTTTTGTATTGTTTTGAACCACAAAGATATATATTATCCATGCCTATTTATTATTGCTGTTATTGAAAGTGTTTCCTGAGTTGTATGAAGCCAAGGTAAATGTAAAAAAAAAATAAAAATGTTGCACTTTTTGATTTTTTAATCATATATTAGATTCTTTTACATAATCTGACTTTCCATATGACATTGTTTACTTCATAAAGCATCTTCATCTGAGGACCTTTCCCCATAAACAAGTAGTGATACGACAGATTTGAAAACTGATATGATATTGTATTGGCCACTGTTTTTAGTGCTTTAAAACTGATTTTATCTCATTTAATATTCATAATAATCCTGTGG